TATTGTTTAATTACTTTTTCAAAAACTGCAGCAAGGGAGGTCTAGGTTGGACATTAGGAAAAAGTTCCTAATTGTCAGGGTGGTTAAACACTGGAACAAATTGCCTAGGGAGGTTGTGGAATCTCAGTCTCTGGAGATATTTAAGAGTAGGTTAGATAAATGTCTATCAGGGATGGTCTAGACAGTATTTGGTCCTGCCATGCGGGCAGGGGACTGGACTCTATGACCTCTCGAGGTCCCTTCCAGTCCTAGAATCTATGAATCTATAAAGCAAGCATCCTGTTTTTAGTACTGGAACTTTAATCCTTTTCTTTCTGATGGTTATCTGGCTTCAAATATGTTAGCTTTATAGGAAAACTCTAGGATAAAATGTCTTAACCCTTTAACATAGTTCTGGTGCAAACCTTCGCCTGCCTAAATGTCTTGATTATGTGTCTAATTCTTAATATACACTTTTTATTAAAAGCAACATTGGTGACTCTGAGTAACTGATGTTCAGCACAACTTGTACTACTTGGGTCTTGACTGCCTGTGCAGCTGTGTAAGTTACCTGCATTGCTCTGGGAGGAGAAGGATGGCTCAGTGGATAAGACACTGGACTGGAACTGAGAAGATCTGGGACCAATTTCTGACTCTGCCACTGAATGTCTATTATTAATTATTATTATTATTATTTTTAAGGCTTCCATTCCTGTTGGTGTAAAATGAGGAACAGTATCTCGTGCTCTCATGGGACACTGGAGACACCTCTAATATTATGACATGGTTATTTTAAGACAACTGCTAATTTTCAAGAAGATACTGTAAAATCATGTTGGCTTGTGATCTAGGAAACCCTTGGAGTGGTTACAGGAATTCTAAATGAGAAGCACTAGTCAGTTTAATACTGTTAATATTTGCAGTCAATGTAATGCACAACTGTCTATACAGCTGTCTTTTATATCTGTACAAATCTAAGTTGCAAATGCACAACAGAAAAATGTAATTCTACCATGTTAGCAACTATGTATTTGCTCCAAGATACAAATAGTATTCACATGACTGTCTCATGCCTTCAAGCACTGACAAGGTCACTAAAGCGCGTTATCTGTACAACTTGCTCAAGAATGCCAGTAAAGAACTAAATATATTCTAAACAAAGCTGAAAGCTGTTTCCTCTTGAATATGAGGGAGGCAGGAGATACATTAATACTGAAATAACTTGCCAGATGGCTTGTCTTGAGCATAAGTGCAATATACTTGTATGTTTAAGCCTACAATTTGGTGAGTGTTGATCTATCATACTGAGACACTCATCAAATTCATGCTCCTACATCTCTAAGCTTTAATGGGTGAAACTCTAAATTTATCTTAATCCAAATTAAGTGATTCAGGCTTGAGTTAAATGGATACTCTTAGATGTGCACAAACACAATGGATTTTGCCTAATTATAAACATATTTTGGGGTTTTGTTGGTTTTGTTCTTGTGGTTTTTTTTTTGTTTTTTGTTTTTTGCAGTACAAAAGAATACTCATTACATGATGATCTTCGATGCCTTTGTCATATTGACTTGTTTAGCCTCATTGATCCTCTGCACACGATCAGTGGTTAAAGGATTTCGGCTCCAAAGGGTGGGTATAACTTATCCTAAGGAATGCTTTTGAGCCATTTAAACTTAGTTTGATTGTAGCTGCTTTTCTTTTTTTCCTCTAGGAATTTGTAAGTTTTTTCCTACATCATTATAAGAAAGAAGTATCTTTCACAGATCAAATGGAATTTGTCAATGGGTGGTACATCCTGATTATTGTTAGTGATGTCTTAACTATTGTTGGCTCAACACTAAAAATGGAAATACAAGCTAAGGTAAGACCTTCACCTACTAGGTAGAAGCAAAACTGTTCTTGAAATTTCATCCCAGTCTGACTTCTCAAGTATAGCCCCCTTAGAGGTTTCCAACTAGTGAGGACCAAAAATAAACTGTTTGTTAGGCATTTCATTTCAGGTGAGCAGTGACTGGTCATTAGACTTTAGAACCCTGAATATCCTTGGACACCCATCTGCCTATTCTCTTCACTCTTAAGAAATTTAACCCTCAAAATAAAATTTTGTATTCACTATCTGCTTTCCCTTTTCCTCCTCCCATGTAGCTGTACTTGAGATATCTGGCTTTTCGGTTTAGAAGTGTATGTGTAACTTTCTGTGCACCATTGTACAGTACCTACAACTGTCTTGAGGAAATGAGGTACTTCTCAAACACCTCTTCACTGCAACTCCAGCTCCCAATCTCCAGCAACTAAGCAGGCATCAGCCTGGCAACTTTCTGTCTGCAAGAGTTCTGAATATCTCCAGGAATTGGAACATCTCCGCTACAGCACATGATGACAAAATAGACTTGCACCCTCCCACATTCAGAGTTAGATGTGTACAGTCTATGCTACTTTGATAGCTTCTCTAACCAGTCCTGGTGCTACCACTTAAGCTTTTGGACCATGGTATTTCTAGTTATATCTGAAACTACTTGCTTCCATATTAAAAAATAATTCTGACAAGGTGGGTGAGGTTATATCTTAATGGACCAGCCAAAGTTGATTTACTTTTTAATATTTCTTTTGCTCTTACAGAAGTGCCTATCCCAGGGTCTAGGTGCTCAATTTCTTAGTCACACAAAAATGCACAGTGATTTTTATAACCCATGTCCAACAAGACTCAACCACGAACTGCAAAAATATTCCATCCTGAAATACCCTAACATTAACCTAATGCTACTTGCCCTCAAAACTCCAGCAGATTAGTTTTGCAGCATGCCTGTAAGCTTTAGTCTAAGCTGACCAAAGAATAATTCTGAAAAACCAGTTGGTGGTGCTGATTACTGTTTTTAAATTATTCTCGCAAAGTACCCAACTACCAATTATGGAGCAGATAGCTCCTATTCTTACAAATAAAAGGAAGGTAAGAAGTAAGTGCAAAAATGAGTAATTGATTTATGGTCTGGGGAAATCCAGGTATGAGAGCAAGAAGGAGTATATCTGATTGCAAGATTTCATCCAATGTGCTGTTTTCTTATTAAATGGTTTGGTAAAAATTGGGATTGTGGGGTTCATCTTCTTTCTCAGGCCTGGTCCACACTAAGCCCCAGTTCCAACTAAGATACGCAACTTCAGCTACGTAAATAACGTAGCTGAAGTCGAAGTATCTTCGTTTGAACTTAAAGGTACTTACTGCAGGTCCACACGTGGCAGGCAGGCTCCCCCGTCGACTCCGCCTACTCCTCTCACAGAGCAGGATTACCGGTGTCGACAGCAAGCACTTCCGGGATCAATTTATCGTGTCTAGACAAGACGCGATAAATCGATCCCAGAAGATCGATTGCTGGCTGCCGAACCAGCGGGTAAGTATAGATGTACCCTAAAACTCCATATCCCATGTAATAGCTCACAAGTAAAGCAGAGGCATCTCATTGCAAGTCCTGCAAATTTAACCTGAGATCTGAATAAACATCTCTTCCTTGTTGTACACCACTGTCTGAAAGTTCTGCCAGCCAAATTACACTTTGCATAAATGTAGCTAAGGGTTGCACAAACTTTCTGAAGAGGGGTGCAGCTTAACAAATGAAGCAGCTGATGGATAACACAAGAAGGAATGGAGTCCACCCAACTGTTTGCTGTATTGGTTCTGCGGGTCTAACAGGAATAAAAAAAAAAACCCTGAAAACCTTTTGTCACTAAAGTGAGCTGTTGTTCTTACTCAGATCTGATGCTTAAACATATTTTTGCATAGTTGCCTTTCAAAATAGAACTGCAGTTAAAATCAGGATAGTGAATGTATTAAGTTGGATGAAAGTAGACCAGTGCGTGTAGGTGTTGACAGAATGGAAAACCATTGGAACACAAATGAAATCTAGTTCTGTGATCATTACTTCAGTTTTTAGAAGCGATCTTTCTCCTTGGTAACTTCCTGGAACTGTGGCACTTGTATGAGCTACTTGTTGGTTAGACCTGATTCTTCCTCTTACATAAAGATCTATTTTGCTTGGGCAGAAAAATACATGTCTTGGACATGATGGCTATACTGTATATATTAGTCACACACGTGAGAGATGCACAAAATTTATTTAAATACTTTCTCATTTCTTGCCTGCAGCTATATAATCTAGTAGAGTTTTGCCCACTAAACAGAATTGGTTTTGGTCAGTATTGGAATGGGAGATGGAGGCTTTCAAGGAAAATAAAGTTTCTTGGCAAATTGTTGTAGCAATGACCAAATCATAGGCTAGCACAAAAAGGGAGACTTCTAGTCCACTGTATGGTTTTAACACTTTGTTCTTTCCTATTTGTTTTATATATAGAGTCTGACAAGTTATGATGTCTGTAGTATCCTCCTAGGAACCTCCACCATGCTTGTGTGGCTTGGAGTTATTCGATACCTAGGTTTCTTTCAGAAGTATAATGTAAGGATCTCCTGGGATCTCCATGCTGTTGGTATTTATTTTATTTGTTGTTATCACACAACTGTAACAAATATCTGGCTGGATTCTAACTGTTAATATTGGTTTCTGCAGCTGCTTATTCTGACACTACGGTCAGCATTGCCCAATGTCATTAGATTCTGCTGTTGTGCTGCTATGATCTATCTGGGCTATTGTTTCTGTGGATGGATTGTACTGGGGCCATATCATGTTAAGGTAATGTAATATTTGAGTTTTTTAAACTGAACAAATTAAACCAGGGGTTCTCAAACTGGGGGTTGTGATCCCTTAGGGTTGCAATGTGGTTACATGGGGGTTGCAAACTGGCAGCTCTGTGGGGCTGACAACCCAAGCTCCCATTAAATTACCCCCCCTCATTTTTAATTTATAAGGGAGGGGTCACACTCAGAGGCTAGCTGTGTGAAAGGGATCATGAATACAAAGTGTGAAAGCCACTTATTAAACTAATGAATAGACTTCATTCCAAGTAAGTTTCTAAATTATAAGAGTTACCCGTAGCCTTCACAATTTCAAGGCTTTCTCTAAGAGGAAAGTCTTTTTTAAGAATCTAAAGCCTTACCTATCATAGTTTTGAAGGCTGACAAAGTACAACGTCAACTTGCTCAGACTTTCCTCTCCACCATTATGAGAGTCCTGAGTCTGAAGTATGGCCAGATTGATTCCTAATCAAAAGCTGGGGCTTTCTATGCAATATTTTGAGAAATAACTTGGTCTTGCACAAGACTAACTTCTATTTTCAAATTAAGATTTTTTTTTCTTAAAGGGATAAGAACTAAGGCACCAAAGTCAGCATGTCTTGCTATTCGTTCACAGCTGAACCAATCTAAATCTGTGTTGAAGACCACTAATCTATTGCCTAGATATATTCTACCAATACATGTTGTCATATCTGTTTGCAATGCTGTATCCTGCATTCTCTCCCTGCTATGCCAGGACCTGCCTGTAGCCACCTTTTGCTCTGCAGGTCTCTAAACCAGGGAAAGTTGATTGGGTTACAGGGTTGATTGGGTACAGTGCCTCATGCTTCTTGTAAAGAGTCTAGGACAGCTGAGGCAGCAACATTCAACAGCTCTTCACTTATTTTAAGACTAAGACTGCAGCAAACAGTAACTTGATGGTACTAAGGTTACCATATTTCAACACTGAAAAGAGGACACTCCATGGAGGCCCTGGCCCCGCCCTGACTCCGCCCCTTCCCCGCCCCCATATCAACCCCTTCCCCAAAGTCCCCACCCCAACTCCGCCCCTTTCCCTGAGCACCCTGCATTCCCCCTCCTCCCTCCCGCGCCCCCCCCCCAGGCTCCGGCTGCTGCTGTGCTGGGGAAGTTGCTTCGGCCCCGGCGCACGGTGCAGAGCGGCGGGAGCCGGGAAAGTTGGAGCCCGGGGAGGAGGCGGCTGCGTGCTCAGATGCTGCCCGCCGCCTCTGTGCCCTCGCAGATCCCGGGAGTTGTAAGTTTTGCTGCAGCCACTCGCACTCTGAGTCCCCTTACCATGCCCCCCTATTTTCCTGGACATGTTTGGCTTTTTGGAAATTCCTCCCGGATGGGGATTTGAGGACCAAAAAACTGGACGTGTCCGGGAAAATCTGGACGTATGGTAACCCTAATGGTACTAAATAATGTTTGTTTTGGTTTCCCCTTCTCCTCTAGTTTCGTTCTCTGAACATGGTTTCAGAATGCCTTTTCTCACTGATAAATGGAGATGATATGTTTGCCACATTTGCAAAAATGCAGCAGAAAAGTTACTTGGTTTGGTTATTTAGTCGGCTTTACCTCTACTCCTTCATCAGCCTGTTCATCTATATGGTGCTAAGTCTTTTCATTGCACTGATCACAGATACATATGAAACAATTAAGGTAGGCATGATCTTTTTTTATTCTCTGGTTCAGAAGAAAAATGCAAGAATGGTTTGCATATTCAATTGTGATATTAATACAAAACCAGTGATTCAGTGCTGTTGCCAGTACATGTACCTATCTGGTAATTAAAGTTGAAATATGAATACAAATGTACAGAAACTTTTCTACTGAAAACCCTAACTTTCAGCAGCTACAGTATTGCTAGTTGATCTCACTGGCTAGGAAACCAGCATAATGGTTTAGTCGGTGTGCATCCAGACTTTACAATGTATTACAAAGCACTGAGGTAGATGAGGTAATGTACATGAATTTAGAGCATAAGTTTATAACTTTCTCTCCTGAAATGTTAATTTCCAGAAATCTTTGATCACTAACTTAAAGAAGAGTGACTAAAATATTAATGAGAATTGTTTAGCAGATTCTCTTCCCACCTTGCCCTAGTTTTGACAAAACCAAATCTGCCTTCCTATCCCAAATGTTCATTTTAAAGGATAAAAATATATCAGAATATTTCTGTACAGTGTCTACTGCACTTCATAATGTGCAGTCTTCTAAATCCAGTTTTTACACAATTGTGTGGCTAGTGTTGAGGGGAAGGAGTTAAATCTTAGCAAGACTATACACACAAGAATTCACCTTTGTATTGTAACGAAGAATGACTAATCTTCAGCATTACCAGCAAGATGGCTTTCCAGAGACGGAACTCCATGACTTTATATCACAGTGTAAAGACCTACCAAACTCAGGCAGATACAGATTAGAAGAGGAGAGTCCTGTGTCGATCTTCTGTTGCTGTAAACGGTAGGCATCTGGCTTTATTTGCCTGCCTCTTATTAAGTAGCTATAGAACATGAAATCTTGGTGAGATATGGTATATCAGAAATTCTTTCTCAGTTAAGAACTATGTGGATTTCTAATGCTTTAGGAGTCCTGCACTACCGGCTATCCTCTTATTCAACTGGATTATGTTATGAAATACTGCAAAAGATAAGATGTCTAATTTAAACTATTCCAGGCCCCAAATTTTGGAATCAAAGCAGCTATTCAAGCTACTGCAATAGACGACTGTCCTGCTCTAGTGGTCAGACCAGACTTTTGAGTCTATTGCCTCTAACTAATGGGCCTGGCTCTTTAGTTCAAATATGGGTTCCTGCTGTTTGGATCCAGAGATTACAGGTTCTCTACCGATGCCCTATCCAATGGAGGTGTTAAAGTTAGTCCAAATCCCCAGATGGGCCACTATTAAAATCTGTAGCTTCAGCTCAGGAATACTCATAGAATCTTGCCTGTTTTGTGCCAAGGACTTCGTATTTGTCTGTACCACCTTAGCTTGGGGGGGGGGGGGGAAAGGAGAGAGCTCAGTGGTTTGAGCATTGGCCTGCTAAACCCAGCATTGTGAGCTCAATCCTTGAGGGGGCCACTTAAGGATCTGGGGCAAAAATCAGTACTTGGTCCTGCTAGTGAAGGCAGGGGGCTGGACTCAATGACCTCTCAGGGTCCCTTCCAGTGGTTGGTGTCTGTCTGTCTGTCTCTGTCTCTCTCTCTCTCATACAATACAAGGTGACTGAATTATATGTGATCTTTCTGTTTCCAGTAGTGGTATCAGTCATTAAGGAATGGGTCTGAGTTATTTTGATTTAGTTAATTTGCAGTTTTCAAGTTAAAATTGTTACTTTCCTGAAACTAGCTGACAACTTTCTTTCTTGAAGGTCCTAATGAAGATATTTACAAGAACGTGGGAATGAATTCTGGAGACTTTTTTTTTAAAACCGCACACTAATCACAAGAACTGGATAGAAAAAGTGGCTGGAAAATTCCTGAACTTAAAGCTCAAACTTTCTTTTCTTTAAAATAGTGCAAACTTGTTACAGAAGCTTTGTGAAACTTGAACCTCCAACTGACCATTATCTCTGGTTTAGATTGTATTTTTCTAAGCTTATGGCTCGAATTGTATCATCTAGTTAGAATTGATGCAAAGGGCATTATGAAACTGGCTATGCATAGTGATCTGGCTAGACTAGACTATCCAACAATATTTCTCCAATAGATCCAAAAGTTAAACAGTTGGACAATGGTAACATCAAACAAAAACTGGTCTTCAACACTACAGGCATAATGAATGCTAATCCATACATATACTGAGTTACAGCACTACTTACCAAAGGGCTTTGGTTTCTTCAGATTTTCTATTTACATACAGTAATAGTAAAAACATCAACCAAAACTGAGTTTTAGTAAAACACATTAGATAAACTGCCCCTGGAAACAGTGTAGTGGATTAATGTAAATGTTCAAATCTGGCTCAGGGCATAAATTAGCAGGCATTTGTGCAAACAAGCCATACCACCTGACATGACTGGCAGTCTCTTCTCCGAGAGGCCAGAGTATATAGCCAGGAAGAGGGCAGGTTGGGTTGAAGTGTGGTGGCAGAGCTGAGTAGGGGAACTTTACATAGCTTATTACAAACACCACTGGGTAGGACCAGGCACGTAGCCTTTCACTTCTCTTAACAGAATGCTGACCTACATTTTTAAAGAATTGAGGTAAGGGAGAAAATAAACATAACAGCAACAAAAGTACTTCCAAAATATCTATTTTTATTTAAATGTTTCCTCTAGTACACAAGACCTTAGACTATTTTTGGAGTCTAGAGTCTAAATTAGATGTATGGAGGTTGTGACTTCCAAATATTGGAAAGTGGATATTTGACGGAGTTATTATCTGCTGCAGTCAGAAAGGTGGTCTGTGGAATTTTGTTATGATACAGTACTTTAACCATTACAATTCTGAGCTATTAAGCAGTCAGTCCTCTTGCTTTGGAACTACATTTTTATGGAAGCTTTATTCTCCATAATCTGTTCACTTGGGAAGCAGAATAGAAAAACGGAGGAGCATATTTTAGATGATTGCACGTGTAAGAGCAAAACTCCTATAGGTGTAGTATAATGTACAGTGAAATGTTTATGTACTATGTACAAACTTGGAAGATGTTAAATATGTTCTGTCTGGATGTTTATATTTTGTAGGAAAGTACTGAAATAAACATTTGCAATTGAAGTAAATCTTGAGCGAACCAGGAGTAACTTTAAGATGTCAGTTTTTAGTTCAGCTTTTTCATGACCAGTATCCTTATACTTCGGGTACGGATTAAATATTGGACTGATTTGAGATGAATACCTAAACTTTAGCTTGATGCTAGCTCTGGGTCTGTACTAGATTAGCTCCTACTTTTATTGTTTTTTCTCACTGAATTATTGCATCTTAATCTTTCACTGGTTTTCTTGTGTAAAAACAGTCTTGCAGAAGTGGTACATCTATCATAATAGATTCTAACTCAGCACAGAGGCCAACCAAATGCAATAGGGAGCAGAACTGGAACAAATTCCCCCTAAAAAACTAAATTTCTAGCAAGTCATTTTAATAAGGCTTATTTCACCAGCATCTTGGTTATCTTGAGAATGCCATTCGGGGGGGGGGGGGAGTTCATTAGCATATAAGCAGTGATTGCAATTCTTTGCCTATCAAAAGGGGCTAAGCATAATGTACACACCACTTAAAAAGCACTATTGCAGCTGCAAGGAAATCTGAAAGGAATGGCATCTGCCACTATAAACCATTGAAAGGGCATCACCTCTCCTACCTATTTCATCATAAACTTTCTCTTTATTTTTAAACCAGTCTGCTATGACTTACACAATTCAGCAAAACCCAAATCGGATTACAATGCAGAGCACTGTTGCTGCCCTAATACAATGGAACATCTGTAAATAATTAGGGATACATAAAGACTAAAGGAGAGCTAGGGCCCATTGCACAACTTAACCCCTCCCATGCAATCTTCTCACAATTTCTAATACCTTCATATTGCCATATGGGGCAGAACAGGCTTACCCTAGCCCCAAACCAGCGGCAAGGTACTCTCCACCTTTGACTCGTTTTTATAGCCAGACTTCTCAGTTCTTGGCGCCAGTGATCCTGTATTTGATGTGCTGTTGGAAATAGCCTGTATTGACAATCCTGAATCTTAATCAATACATGTTCTCCTTGTCCTCCTCTAATGCTGAAGCCAAATTTCCTCAACAAGTATTCTGACTAGTTGGAGAATGAAGGTTGAAGATGACTTAATTTGAGCAACAACCATGCAGGTTAAGTACAAGCAACACCAGGTTCCAAGCTGGCATTGGATGATATGCATACTAAAAGAGACCAAACGTAGAAACAACTCAGACACCTTTCCTGTGCCTTACATAAGATTTTCTAACTAGAATTACATTTTAACTATAATGTCTGGCACGTCTAAACCAGGAAAGAACATAGACATTGCCATATAGCATCAAAACAGTGATGGATCTATTACAACTTCCTGTCTCAGGCAGTGGCCAATACCATATGCTTCACTGGACGCCTTGGGAATGTTTTGTTGTGGCAGAGCTGGCCCCTAGGCTTCTTACTAACTCCTGTTAGTTAGTGGTTGGCCTATGCCCTGAAGCATAAAGATTTGTACCTTGTCTATTTTGTTAATGAAGTTACGGAAGTCTATACATATATAAATCTTATTTGTTTCTGGGATCTTATTAGGCTGTTTGGTCTCAGTGGTGTCCTGTGATGATAAATTCAGCAGCTTCACTACCAACTGTGAGGAAAAGTTTCCTTCAAGCGGTAGTAACTTTGCCTTTTAAGTATCAGAGGGGTAGCCGTGTTAGTCTGGATCTGTAAAAAGCAACAGAGTCTCCTGTGGTACCTTTAAGACTAACAGATGTATTGGAGCATAAGCTTTTGTGGGTGAATGCCCACTTCGTCGGATCACATGCATCCGACCAAGTGGGCATTCACCCACAAAAGCTTATGCTCCAATACATCTGTTAGTCTTAAA